CACACACACACACACACACACACACACACACACACACACACACACACACACACACACACACACACACACACACACACACAAACACACACAAACAGACATACAGCGAAGCGGCAAAAACAGAAAGGAGCCACTGGAGGTGTCTTCCACAAAGCTCCCCACCTTTGTGACAGCAGACTTTGTGACAGCAGAGGGCTGCACATCCATGCATTCATAATGGCAACGTCTGCACTCAGGTCTCTACGTTTGGGGGAGCAGGAGGAAAGCGGTGCATGTGCCTGTTCAACCTACCCCGCATTGCTTCCAACTGCTGAGCGACAACTTCAATCGTCTTCCCTGCCTCCCGTTGTTCCAAAGTCTCACCAATGCAACCAATCACCTTCAAGCCATTGTTCAGAGCATATGCCTCTTTCATCCCAACGAACTGGCAAAAGCAAAGCAGGATTAGCACTTGTCAGACGACCCGTCACATTGTACAGACGACAAACAAATACATCACAGCCCTCTCCTTACCAAGTCCTTGTTAACGGAAGGGAAATTAGGTAACACAATTGAGGAAAATCACATATTTGAAAGATCGTACATAATGCCTGCAAGCTTGAGTTGATGCGAGTGCAATTTGTTGGCTGCATTTGTGTTGTAGAGCCTAGCAGCGCTTCTCATTTCCAACAGTGCAAGCCAGTACGCCTTTGGCAACCTAACCAAAAAAAAAAAAAAAATGCAGAACCTCCATGCTTGGCATGTCACAGATGGTGAGCATGTGTGATACACCACTTTGATTTCCCCTACAGGTATCTTCAAGGGCAATGGTCGCTTCCCAGTTATCGGGTGTGGGGCATGGCTTGTAAGCCTTGCTGCCTCGGTAGACGGCCCAACCTTCCGCCAGATTTCTAGGATCCAGACGGTCCGTCCAGAAATCCACATCACCCAGACAGGTATGGATTAAGACCCAGAAACGTTTCCGACCAGGTGCACCCGTTTCTGTCTAGACGTGTGTAGCCTACCGTCTTCTCCCAAATAGAACATAGGGTCATTGTTGCTGTATATTTAGGGCACCTTTCAGTCCAGATACAGGGGAAAGATGCTACGTACGGCCAAACCTTCAGCCAGATTTCTACGATATCCAGATGGTCCATCCAGATCATCCACACAGGTATGGATCAAGGTCGGCGAAGAGGTTCTGAACACCTGTGCCCATGCCTGTCCGCCAAGAGCAGACAGTCTTCTGGACCTGCCAAGACCTGTTTGGATAGTCAGGCTGGACCATTCTGGTCCTAGATATCCGGGCAGATGTCTGTCACGGATAGCCTTGTAGCATCGGTTGATTCAGATCAGAACCTTGCTGATCTTTGAAGGTCAGCCTTCTCTGAGTGGGGGCCCAATGAAACAGTCCGTCAGAGTCCTGATCCATCTCGTTTGCATTGATGATTGACCATATAAAGAAACAGAAAGAAAGGACGGCATAGAGCAAGAGACTGAAAAAAAGAATCAGTGTGCCTCCTGTCTACTCTTTTCTTCATTTGTTCTGCCCAGTGCATTGTGGTGGGGGGTGGTAGATATGTGAAAATACGTACGTCCCAATCAACAATCAAAAAGCATGCCGCCCTGTATTTTCCTCTTCACTATCGCCTCGACATCAGCTTGGGCAATCAATAAACATCACGGCTCCTGAACATGCCGCACTGTATTTCGTACTATTTCCCTCTTCACGATCACGTCGGCATCAGCTCCCAAGCCGTCAACAACTAGGAATTGCAATAAACAGCATGCTTCAACCGTGTCCATCACTGCAAGGGGCCCTCATCAATTTGGTCATGCAGCCTCCTCACCATTGACATCGACGGCGTCTAGTATTTGCATTCATGCTCAGACTCTTGAGACTCCATCATAATGAGTCAGACTGCAGTGAACTGACCACACAGCTGTGACCATTCTTGAGTGATAATGAAGTACGATCAGCAGGCAAGACGCAGTGCAGCATGAGCGAAAAAAGGAGGACAAGCACTTATCGATAGAAATGAATTTAATGAATTCATGAGAAAGAGGAGCAATACGACCAGTGGGCAAGGCGCAGTGCAAGACGAGTGGAGAGAGCAGGACATGTGCAGATAGTAAGAAGATCTGAATTCAAGAGGAGGAGGGGAACAGAAGAGGGGAATGAATTCATGAGAAAGAGAGGAGCAATACGACCAGTGGGCAAGGCGCAGTGCAAGACGAGTGGAGAGAGCAGGACATGTGCAGATAGTAAGAAGATCTGAATTCAAGAGGAGGAGGGGAACAGAAGAGGGGAATGAATTCATGAGAAAGAGAGGAGCAATACGACCAGTGGGCAAGGCGCAGTGCAAGACGAGTGGAGAGAGCAGGACATGTGCAGATAGGAAGACGATCTGAATTCAAGAGGAGGAGGGGAACAGAAGAGGGAGGGAAGCAGAGAGAGGGGGCAGAGGAGGTTGAGCTTTGCCAGTGAACTGCAGTGTTCAAACTAATAGGAAAGAGAAAGGGAGAGGCTGGCAGAGAGACTAAGAGACGTAGGAGGAAGAAGAAGGACAGGGAAGCAAAAAAAAAATGATGAAAGAGGATGTGGGGAGGGAGAAAAGTGAGGGGGAAAGAACAAACCTCGTTGGCTTCACCAATCAATTGTCTTCTCTCTGAGTGGCCAAGGATCACCCAGTTAAGCCCAATGTCCTTCAACATTTCAGCACTGCACACATGCACAATTGTATTTCAGGAAATAAGATTCTAACCCAAGACAAAGCTACCAAGAAAAATGATATACTTCAAAAATCCTAACGCAGTGTGCAACATTTCAGCACTGCATGCATCTACCATTGTACTCCATGAAATACACTCGCAACCCAAGGTATAGCTACCCATGAGGGAAATCCTGTTCAATATTAACAAAATTTGTGTTCTGCAAAGGAATGACAGAACCAAAGGAATTCACAAGGGCAGGGATGGATGGATGATCAGAAGGATATGAGGGAGGGAGGGAGGGAGGGAGGGAGGGAGGGAAGGAGGGAAATGAGTCTCCTCACACCCAAATCGGAAAGGATGGCAGGAGGGAGGGAGGGACAGAAGGACAGAGGGAGGGGACAGAAGCAAAGGAAAGGAATTCAGACGGATGGATGGATGGATGGACTTAAGGATGAAGGGAGGGACAGAAGAACGGAGGGAGGGAGGGAGGGAGGGAGGGAGGGAGGGAGGGAGGGAGGGCTTGACAGAAAGGCAGAGGGAGGGAAGTCACTCAATTCAATCCTTCGAATCAAATGATCCAATTCAACCAGTCCATCAGATAGGTGGCCCACATGGCATGAAATGAGTCTCCTTGCACACCTGACCTCCCCAGTAAAAGCGCCGCCTTTCCCAACCCAACAATTTTGCGCTGCAACCTCGATGCGGTCGGTTATCGAGCCCAAAACTTGGTCAATGTAGACAAACGGTGGTGCAACAACGACATCTGCGAACAACACACCAAACACAGGAAGCCACATCCAACCTCCATCATTCATTCGCCCATCTCTGCCGAAACAAAGAGCCCAAGGCGAAAAGCAACCACTCCTGACAAACACGACGTTGCAGGCTGTGCTTCCTCTAGAAGACATTTTGGAATCAGCTGCCTAAGGACGTGTACTCGTACAAGGAATATGTTTTTGACTGACTGTTCCAGGCAGGCATGGCAGTACGCTTAATCTGCAAAAACCCGAGAGAGAGAGAGAGAGAGAGAGAGAGAGAGAGAGAGAGAGAGAGAGAGAGAGAGAGAGAGAGAGAGAGAGAGAG